CAAGCAAATATTCTTTTTTCCACTGATTCATATCGCAAAATATAACTTCTATATTAGTGATATTCACTTTTATAAAATCATGTTTTTATTGTCGTTCAACATAATAAAACTGGATTGTCTTAAACTATTTTTGGAGTATTTTACCTTACATGTATTCTGCTGTAAACACGAGATAAAATCAAAAAAACATGCCTGTTTGTTTGACAAGTATGGCAAATTAACAAAGAAATAACTAAAATGTAACCATATGGCATTGAATTTTACAATCTATTGTAAAAATTCAATATAAAAGTGCAATACAATCTCTGAACAGAAGGTTTAGCAAAATGTGCAAAACACAAAAAAAATGTGCAGAACATAAATTTACCTTATTCATGTGGCAGTTTAATCATCACGTGATGATAGTGATTTATTGGAAGCTACACCCTGGTCAGGGCCAGTGTGAATGATACTTCTATTAGAGGGATTAGACTGATCTACTTACAGACCCCCCTCTGTGGCAGTTGCCCCAAGTTGCCTTCATTTGCCATGTTGAGTAAATTCCTGCCGTGCTGTGTACACCCCGATTAGGGAGTGTGGGACTTAACCACCAACATCATCAGTCTTATGTCAAGCAATCCTGTGACAATCCAGTTCAGTTGTATTTTGTTCACAGTGAAAGGAAGTGTTGAAGTGTCTGTTTGGATGGAGAGTGAGGCTACACATGGTGATAGCTCCCCTTTGCAGAATATATTAGATGCCAAATATTAAGGTTAATAAGGTTTTTGCAGATATTTCACAGCAGAAGCAGTTCTTTAAGATGCAATGCACTGCTTCTATAAGAAAATAGGGAGAGCAACCTTTAGTTAAACACAAGGTCCTGTCACAATAGAGACGTGAAGGGCTGTTTATAGGGACACTTGTGTTTGTGTCATGGTGTTAAACTAGCGACACTGTCATTCGGGGAATTTGCAGAGCGTTTGACAGATGGATTGAGGGAGATTAGCCGTAGCAGCTGCGTTTGGGACAGAATCACAGATTAGGAGCTCTAATGTGCAGACCTGGCTCCTTCTTTACACTCCAGATTTGGGCAGCAACACCTTCCTATCACTCAGTCAGGGACCGTCAACACTTCTGCCTTTGTCCCTTCCTCCCCCTTTTCACTCCCCTCTCATCCTCCCATCCCTCCAGGTTTGTGTTGTGTTCTTAGTGCTATTTCTGCATCAGCTGATCTTTCTCTTTCTTACACCTATGCTCCGGTAACTCTTGCTGTTAAAGGGATATTCTGGTGATCAAGATTATCTGTACTATTTCCTGATTGCAGGTTGCAACATCAGCATGATCATGGGTGATGGTATGGTGAATGTGGTTTGCTAGTCAATGTCAGACTAGGTATACTGATTCTCAGTGGGTGGGTGCAAATGTCAGTGTGCAGGCTTGTGCGTGTGCATGCATGTGTGTGTGTGTGAGTGTCTATGTTTGTGTGTGTAAGTGTGTTTTAGTGTGCATAAGTGAGAGGAGAGAGATTAACCCCATGCTATCCCCAATCCCTGGTTATGAGTTTACAGCGTCTGTCTGGCCATCGCACTGTTTAAACAACAATCTAATTAATCCTGTCTTTATTAGTTTCAGTGAACTGGGGAGGCAGGCTGGGAGGGCGTGAGGGAGAACTGGGAATGCTGGCATAAAAAAACTGGGGACGGAGGGGGAGGAAACCAAGTGCATGTGAGAGCAGGGATTTGAGAGGAATTTAATGGCAGAGACTTAAGGCCCTGTGAATGGAAATAGGGATGTGAAGAGATGGTGAAGCAGGACAGAAATTGAAGGGTTATAACATCTCACAGGAGGAGCGACAGAGGGACAAAAGGAGGAAAGTGGTCATGGGGAAAAGCAATAGACCTGAGAAAGACGGTGTATTAAGCTTTATAGAGTTTAAATAAGTACTTTGAGATTGTGGGTGGGATATGGACAGACTGGAGTTTACCTCATCAAACAGATCTCCACATTTAAAAGGATTTAAAAGGGAAAGACTCTCAACAGGCAGCTCTTATCATAAGCTAACTACTGCCACCTACTGTAATGAGGGAGAAAAGAAAATACAATGTAAAGATGCCGACTACTGTAATTCCTCTCAGCAGATGTTCACCTTGTTGCTCTGTGTATTGGGTAATGCTTATAGGACCTTTAATTAAGAGACGATGTTAATCTCCAGAATCATTAAAACTCAGGGTGAATGTGTTGGAGCTCCTTGACTGTGCCGCTTTCTGTAATTACCTTACCTCAGTACTCCTTACAGTTTATGTAAGTATCATTCATATACAAGCCCATGTGTCTTTCTGTGCACCTCCAGGCTGTTTGTAAGGAAGTGCAGCGCTTGCCTGCAGGTGATTGGACGTTCAGAGCTGATAATGCGTGTGCTCGGCCAGGTGTACCACCTGGGCTGCTTTACCTGCTGCGAGTGTGAACGCCGGCTGCAAAGAGGTGATGAGTTTGTACTGAAAGAAGGCCAGCTGCTCTGCCGTATGGACTATGAGAAGGAGAGAGAAATGTTAGCTGCTATTAGTCCCACACCAACTGAATCAGGTATAGTAGGTTGCTTTGTCTGGATCACTTTTTAATCAATTCAAAGTTGTTTGGTTTTTCTACATACATCTTCTCAGATTCCAATCTTGATCACATTGCTCCACTTCAGATTAGTGAGCCGCTCCTGAAGGGAAAATGGGGGTTTAAAGGAGCTTCTTTCGAGCTTCTTTCTTGTTGATTGCCTAAATGACCACTGAGTCAATGATGTAGAACACAACTACCTGAAACAACATAACATCATAACAGCAAAAGGTCTTAAAAAATACAAACTTTTAGATATGAAACAGTATTACTACCTCTATTTTAAAATAAAGTTTGCTATGTCATCCTTCATTTTCAGATAATGTGTTAGCAGAAGTGTATTGTCTTCTGATCAGTGCGGATAGTCTGCAAAGGTGCTCACTGTTTTTTACAGTGCATTCTGGCTATATACCTGTATATTAAGCTGAACTCTGCACTGGAACAATTTGGCATTAAACCCTCTAGAAACATTTTTCTTCTTCAGAGATTTAATAACTACAGAACAAGGGACTAGTTTAAGAAACCCTCAGTCACCTCAGTTTTAAATACTTATTTTTCTTTTAAGGAAGAATGAAAATATACCTTCTCCTATGGGCTGATCTGACTGTTTTGTTGTCTGCTTACCTTGCGCAGTAAAAAGTGAGGATGAGGAAGGTGGAGGAGGTTCTGGCGGGGGGAAAGGTGGTGAGGAAAGCAAGGACCACAAGCGTTCAAAACGACCACGCACCATCTTGACCACACAGCAGCGCCGCGCTTTCAAGGCCTCCTTTGAAGTGTCTGCTAAGCCTTGCCGCAAGGTGGGTGGACCTGCTTGGTTTATCAATGAAAATGTGTGCCAGAAAATAGTCCCTTGACTTTATTGTTTTCGGGCATCTTTGTCAGTCCGCATATCAATTAATCCCTACGTGTGCTTGACACAATAAACAACTCTATTCTGTAGGTGAGAGAGACACTGGCTGCTGAGACCGGGCTGACAGTGCGTGTTGTGCAGGTGTGGTTTCAAAACCAGAGAGCCAAGGTTAGACTTTATATGTTCTGAGGACATGTTCTGTCTCACAGATCGACACAAAGAAGAAATTCACACAGACAATGTTTTTGTGCCTCAGATGAAGAAGATTGCTCGCAGACAGCAGCAACAGCAGCAGCAGCAGCAGGAACAAGAGCAGCTGGGAGGGACCAGACGAGGACCAAGCAGAGGGGGCCGCCAGAGCAATGACGACAGTGAGGGTAAGAGCTTGAAGTGCCAATGCAGGATGGAGAAGAATAGAAGAACAACATAGGACATGGTATGACTAAAAGGGATACTCGTCTCTACACAGATGGCTCTAGTACCCATGGCATGGATGGGATGCTGGGATATCCCTCTCTGCCACGTCAGCAGCTACTCGCTCTGGACCCCAACATCTACGGCGGAGAACCATTTCGACACGGGCTTACACCGCCTCAGCTGAGCAACGACCAGCTCCACTCCTATGGTAAGACAGGAGGTCAAAGCTGCAAAATCTAAAGAAACTGCCCCCTCAAAATGAAGATGTTTTATTTCCCACACATTCAAAACCGCAATTCAAGGGGGCCATTCAGCATGTTAGTCTCAGTAGTCTCAGTAAATGTCTTCTTACAAACCCATCAGTTTAATGGAGTCTTATACGCTATAGTCAAACAATTGCACTGCCCAATATTTTTCTTATTTTCTTATCATTTCCTTGGATAATGTGCAGTGGGAGGTAGGCAAAAATGTAATATTTGTACTTGAAGGTGATGCATCATGTTGCATTAATGGGAGGATGTTTGAATCAGGTTTTTAATTCTAAAAGTTGTGAAGATGTGAGGAAAAGGCTGAGATTAAACTACAGAGACTGACTCACTGTTAGTTTTGGCGTTTAGAGTAAACATATGTGCCTATTTCCATTTTTTTAATACTCTTCTGTGCTCTCTGGTGGTAATTAAAGGCCGTTCCACTTCAGCTGTGCACACTCTTTTTCACCACAGACTCAGAGACGGTGTTCCATGACCTGGACAGCGATGGAAGCCTCGGCCACCTTGGAGACTGCCTCTTGGCAACAGGGGACGGCAGTCTCCTGCCAGGGCGAGTGGGAAACCCCATTGACCGGCTGTACTCCATGCAGAACTCCTACTTCACCTCCTGACCCTTATAAACTCTCGCCTTTCCCACTCCTGTTCCACCTTTCACCTCAGAGATGCAGCTAATGGAGTCTGTCCATCAACATGCCTGTGGGACCGCTCTCCATGAAACAGCCTACACCCAAACACACTTCTGAGCTTTTATCACAGGCTAAAATCATCACAAAGCCAAACATAGTCATGACATCACTTTGCAGCATATTAGCTAATTGTCCCAACCATCTTTTCTTGATACGAATCACATGCTGGAAATACAAACACTGTAAATGTCCAAGATATGTAAAAAGACCTCAATTTCTCCTGTTGTATTTATGTAATGTTCAATGAAACACGTTTCATGGCACTTTCCGACAAAAAAAATGACAAACAAAAGACACCTATCAAACATATTTATGTGTATATCATGATTTACAGATGATAATTGGTTGTTGAAAGTGAATTCATCAATCAAGGTACGCGCATCAGGAGTCTTGGCAGGCCTTATGAGCAGCTGAGAGTCTAATAGTAGTTTGCATTACTTTTTTTCTCGACAGGACTAGTGATGTTATTGTGTGTGGAAGACTGCAGCATATACAATACTGTATATGGATTGGAGTACAAATTGCTCTCAGGTTAGTGTGTATGTTTATGTGACCTGAGCTATAACTCAGGATATTGAGCAGGATAGGAGTACAATTTAACTTGCCCAGTGAATTCAAGGACGCAGATTGCAAAGAGGAAGAAACTCTCCATGTGAAATGGTAATTTCAAACTACTAGTTTTTGACAATGCATGTTTAATATGGACCAAAAAAAAAAAATCGCATCTTTTTTTAGCATTTAGACAACACTACAGGGTTATTTGAGGAGCCTTATGCGGAAACAGGGTTGTATAAGTGATTATTTATTTTGCTTTCCCTTCTCTTTTATAATGTAATCACTTAGAAGCAGTGCAGTAAGTGACAACCAATAGATCTAGAATGCCCAAAAGTTCGAACACTGGGCACATGATGATGATGTCCTCTCAAATGTAAATGTGAGTATGACTGTGTTACACTTAATTGTTGTAGTCAATTTCTGTAATAACTTCTTTCTCAAACATCTCAAATTAGATGTTGTTAGGTAGATATTTTGTACCTTCTTCTGTGATAATCAGCAAATATTTAAATTGTAGCATGATATTTATGTGTCACAAAGTAGGTCTAAAGAAATAGCCTCCAAACTGAAGTTGGAAAGCAAGTGCAGAAAGCACCAGGATCAGACTCACAATAAAATAGGATTAGGGTGATACTTGTTTCATTTAGGTGCCAGTGATCGGCTGCAGCTTGTGACATTCTTTCATGACATTATATGTTTGACTCCGATCACTGACTCATGGTATTTTTACAGTGATATTTTTGTAAATGTAACTTATTTGTGCGGTATTAGGCAAGTTCCTATCTTACTTTTTTGTTCAGTGACTGCCAGGTGATGTGCTTTGAATGTAATGTTGCCGTATCTTCAATACAATCTGCGGTTTCATCTTTGAAGTGCGATTGCCTTATTGTCCTAAATATGATGAATGGTGATGCACTGATTACTTTCTCATCTGGTAAGAACAGCAGATATTACACTTGAAAAGAAATTAATCTGTTTCCCCTCCCCTTCAAAGCTTTAATAATTGAACCAGAAAAGGTCTGTTCTGCTTAGTGGTCACAGGGCTCATAACTCAATATCCTCCCTTTGTGTCTCTCAGTAGTCCCGCTGATTAGAAGTGGACAGCCTCCTACTTCTCCTTCCTTCCCAGACTCCCTATTTCTAAGTCATTGAGTAGTCAGGAGAGTTTGTGTGGGAGCGGTACATTCCAGTTTAATATTTGACTCTGACTCAGACCTGGAGAGGGCAAGGGGTGGGAGGGACAGACATTACCAACAGAAAACCACAGAGGATGACTACACCGGATGAGTAATACAAGTCTGATGTCAATTTTAATGAGATGGTTCGTAAAAAACAGACTTCCTGCATACAGGAAATTATAACTGTTATCATCACATGAACACAACAGTTACACGAGGAGTACGAGAAGAACGATGCAGTAATTGAATATTTTAACCTGTCTAACTCACAGTTGTACCGTTGCAATTCACATTTATCTTTGTCAAAGAAAGACAAAATAAGTCACACAGACTTATGTCCCATACATTAACATGGATGGGACAAATGTAAAGCCAGCCCATTTGTCCTGCTGTTAAGACAGCAGTAATCTGAAGGGGATGGAAGATGTCTGAATGCTACGATGGCCGAGGTACCGGATCTATGAGTGGAAAAAGAAAAGGAACAGGAAGAAAGGATGGTGCAGTGTTAGTCTTAAGTTTAGACTTGAAAACCAATGTGTCTTTTTAAGATAGTACAAGACTTAACTGCTGCAAGTCTGAATAACCAGCATGCAAAATCCATTCAGTGTAACCCCCCC